AGGGCAATATATGAAATATTTACCAAATAACCACGGATGGGCATAATCAGAATAGACACTGCCATGGCTAGGTCTGACCCTAGCTGTAAACAACTCTTTCAGATTTAATGCAGGTCCCCCCTCTCCCCCGCCCAAACAGCAACTTTCAACTGTGTAATTATCATCACTAGAATAATTACAGTATGGGATGCACTAAAACATTCTGGTCACTGTATTAATCTGGATAATTCACCAGATTAGTAGGTCTGCTACAGTAGACCTACTCTGAGATTCCAGGAGATTTATATAACCAAAATGTACTTCTTTCTCACAAAGTGAGATAGTGAGCAGAGATTCTTCTCCCCTCAGAGACTCCAGACGCCTCCATTTCTGATACTCCCAAAGTCATTGCACAAGGGACAGGAGAGCTGGAGGGGGCTGCTGGCTTTCATCCACTTGATGTGGAAGTGACTCTTGACTCTTCTGCTCACCTTCAGCTGGCCTGAACTAGACACATGGCTTGGACCTCACTCGCTGTGCGAGAGGGTAGAATATGTAGGGAAGCACGTCAGTAATTCTGAGTCTGTCTGCACCCCCAGTACTGATGTGATTTCTTTCTCCCAGCACACAGTCAATTCATAGCACCTTGTGATCTTAGCTGCTGACTCATGGTTTAATTCAGTGACTTTTTTTGTTTTTGTTTTTGTTTTTTTTTTTTCAATTTTTCATTCTCTTATTAGCTCTGTCACATGCTCTTCAATCTATTTCTGGTTCAGCTGCCCAAGAGAGAGGATCTGATTGGCTTGTTTGTCATCATTGTCTCTGGGCAGATTCTTTGTTTCAACCGTCTGATATGCACTGGCCAGCTATAGGCTGACTGCTCATGCCTGCTTTAATCTGGGGAAAGGACTTTGGAGATGAATTGCATAGGAATTTGGAGATAAAATGAGCAAATAAAGGTGACAAAATTATGTTGAATACTGAAGATTTAAAAACATATCTAACAATGTCTTTATTATTATGAAATTGTTACTATATTGTAATACTGCAAAATTAAAATTTGTCAAAATTTTAAAAGAAACTGTGGCTTTATTTCTTCTGAGCATATTCAGTATGAATTAAGAGTAGCTATTATGTCAGTTCACAAACTAAGGTATAAAAAAAGTAACTTAAATTTCTTTGATAGTTGAATAAATTACTATTTTATACCTCCATTCCATTAAGTGCAAGAAATCTAATTTTCCTAAAATTCAGGCTCTCTACCCACCAAAACCTGTCCAGAGTTGCTTCTAAGATTCAATGTTATGTAACTTTAAAGCACTGGAAGGCCTGGTGTAGACATGTCAACCCTGACTTTTGTATGACAGTGACTGTGGCAGAGATCCCTGCTTATCTACAGATACCCACATTCACTTCCTTAGCCAAAGAAGTGCTTTATTTTCACCTGGGCACAAGGCTGCCCACCTAGTGATTGTACTTTCCAGCCTCTCTGCAGCTAAGTGGTCATGTTCTAAGAGCTGGCCAGTTGGCAGTGAATGAGATGATAGGTCAGCTTCTGGGTCAGGCCTTTAAATAGAATCTACTGGCCCTTAGCTTTGTGTATTCCTTTTTGTCTTTCAGACTGGAATGAAGATGTGGTGATTGTGATCCAGCTTTGTTTCTGCAAGGACATGATGCAGCATTTTTAGGGGCAGTGAAGCAAGGAGATAGATGGAACTTGGCTCCCGCATGATCAGGTGGTGCAGAGCCACTCTAGCCCCTGTACCACCATGACTTTGAACTTCTGTGTGATCGAAAAGGGTGCTTTACCTTGTTGAAGCCTCTCTTATCTTGGTCTCTTTGAAAACAGCTGGACCAAAGTCCTAAAGAGTACAACCACTTTCCTGGGTAGTCTCTGTTGCAGCTCTCTTGTTTCTGATAGACAAGCTCCCCTAGTTTGTTGCTTACAGGTGCTGGGTGCAAGCCATGCTGTGTGTGTTGGTTACAGTCTAATGCTTCTTCCCCAACTACACTATGAGGAGCTCTGCTCTGGGCTCATCCTGCATTTCTGACACCATTCCTTGGCTTTGGGAGCTCTGCGGGATCTTGTGGGACTATCTGCCCAGACGTCATACAGATTTTCCTTCTACTTCCGTACACGCTGGACACAGGGAACTAGGAAGTCCTACAGTTCCCAGAATCCACCTAGAGAGGAGCAGAATATTCTTCCCAGATTCCACCTAGAGAAGGGCAGCATATTCCCAAACATATCCGGTCATTTTAGGATCCTGCTTTCTGACCCCAACCAAAGGGCTCAGTTTAGGATAGAAGTGGAATCAGACTTAGGGCTCCTTTTCAGGAGCTCACTGGTAGCTTTGGTTTTTCTTACAAATCTCCATCTTCCTCACCATCAGAGAAATCTTCCTGAGTCTCGAGAGCAAAGGAAACTCTGTCCTAACACATTAGGTTTCCTTCTTTTTGTTTTACTGCCTGGGTCTAAGGTTTTAAAACTATTGTTTTCTGAATTCTCTTACATCATTCCTTCTTGGAGGCAAAATTAAGGCAGACTTGTCATGAGGTAGAGGGTGGAGATAACCAGAATAATAAAGACACATAGCAGTCTCTTCATATTTCATCTGCTGTTTAACTAGCACCCAAGATTGTCAAATACTTGCCTTTTTCAGGAATTTCTTCAGTCAATAAATAAGAATTATTTGTCATGTGCAGTGGAAAGTTCTTTGGTTTGAAATTTGGAAGGTTGTGTTCTAGTTCTAGATTCTTCTTCTTTTCTGGAAGGATACCTTCTATGTCAACAGTAAAGGGCAATTCCAAGAGGGGTTGTTTGTCACTTTTATCTGTGGACTTTGGTTCTGATGACTATGTGACATTGGGAAATTGACCCAGATTTTATACTTCAGTTTTTGCTATGTATTTCTGTAGAATGTTGTACCTCAGACACGGAGATCTTATGTAGACTAATAACAATGGTTAATAATTAACAAGCATTTCAGAGTGTCCTACTGCTTTACATAAACTCATTTATTTCTGACTCATTTATAAGGAAGATCCCGAGATATGGTATAAAGTAGAACTAGGATTTAAGCTGACACAGTCTGATTCCAAAGTCTATGCTCTTAATTATTAAGCTAGACAACCTCTTGTAATAGGGATTAATTTGAAGGGAAGGAAAGAGAAACATACTATAATTATTGCAGTTCTTTCCTAGTTGGGTCTACCAGGTTTTCAAAAGTAATCTGACTTACCTCTGTTTACATCATTCCAAATTTCAGATGAGGAAAAACTGCGTAAGTGTTAATAGTGCAATGTGTAAAATTATTATATCTTAAAATTATTAAGCAATTGGGACCAGTTGGTGGTGTGGTGATTGAGGCACTGGACACTCCTGCGTGACTGACCATGGTTTGAGTCCCAGACGTGGTGGCTTGTTTTCTCACTTTCCCCCCTCTCTCTCTGTGTCTCTTTTTGGTCAAATTGAAATAAAGGAATAAATAAATAAAATAAAATAATTCTTTAAAAATTATTAAGCTATTAATTTTTATACATTGACTAAGAAATACATTTATTTAACCTGCTTCCTTTCAAAAATGGACTTAGAACACAAATCAATATAAGCAACTCAGTGATAATTCTTAGAAATATTAAGAAAATAGTGAGAATTCAGCAAGGCTCTTTTGAGTTATGTTCATTAGAAGTATATTAAGTATGGTCAAACTAATTGAAGTATAATTGCATGATAAAACTTTACCACCATCTAGTGTTCGTAAGGAACATTGCAGAAATGTTCTTTTCTGGTCTTTGGCAACTACCTTGTGTATCTGTTCAATGTTCCCACGCTTTTGTATGGCACTGTGTGCTTCCTTTACCAATGACCTTTGAGTCTGTACATTATTTTAATAATTTTATTTCAGAGCAACTCATTTAATGAGCTACATTTCCCACTTGCAAAGCATGGTTTATTGTATGAGGCTACCTACAAAGGAATATAAGAATTTTCAGGGCCAGCCAGGTGGCATCGGTGGTTGGGGTGGCTGAATCCCACGTGGCCAACTGTGTGGTTTGAGTCCTAGAGCTGGTGGCCTGAGGAACATGCTGGGTGTGAGAAGAATGGAGGAGAAAGGATTGTGGCAAGGTCATCCCCTAGGGGTGCTCTCTCACTTTCTCCAATGAGCACTCGTGCCCTATAGCAAACTAACAAAAAACAGGTGGAGGGGCAGCAGGTGGCATGATGATTAAGGGCACTGGACTCCCACATGGCTGACTGTGGTTCAAGTTCTGGACCTGGCAGTTTACTTTCTCACTCTCTCTGTCTGGTCAAATTACAATAAATAAAGTTAAATAAAATCATTCTTTTTTCTTTCTTTTTTAGGAGAGGTTTTTGCTATAGGGTGTGTGTGCTCACCAGAAAGAGAGAGACAGAAAGACAGAAAGCAAGAAATCACCTCCCAGGGGGATGGCTACGCCGCAATCCTTTCTCCTCCATTTTTCTCTTAGGATCTTGGGTACGCACACACATGCGCCCAGCATGAGTTTAAGCCACTGGGTCCGGGACTCGAACTGCAGTCAACTACATGGGAGTTCAGCGACATAGCCATTATGCTAAATGCTGGTCCCAATAAAATAATTCTTAAAAAAAATTTTTTATCCAAGTCTGAGAGATTGTCTAAATACTCTTAGACAATCTTGTACTCATCCTAAGAATTCCCTTTACATTAGCTTTAAGATGATAAACATGGGGAAAGTGTTTATGATACATATTTAAATGATTACGAGATATTTTAGACATTGAGGAGAGCATAAAGTGTAATATATCAAAAATGCCTGCTATGTTAGTTATCTATTGCCGCCTGACAAATTGCTTCAAAATTGTAGCAGCTTAGGTTGCAAACATTTATGATTTCACAGTTTCTGAGGGTCAAGAACCAGAGTGGCTTAGCTGGTTGTTCTGGCTCAGGGTGTGGCACAAGAATGCAGCCAAGGCAAGCTCAACTGGGGCTGGAGAATCTCTTTCTCAAATTACTCACATTGTTGCAGGTTTCTCGGGTGCTGTTGGCGATAGGCTCAGTTTATTGACGTGTGGGCATCTTCAGTGGATATGCTTTTTCCAGAGCAAGAGGAGAGCGAGAAAGTGGCAGCAGTCTTTTAAAATTTCTTTCTTCCATGTTGTATGTTGTAAAGATATACGGTAATTAAATGTAAATTTAAAAAATACAGGAATAAAAATTTAGAAAAAGAATCCAAACCCCCCCCATACACACACACACACACACACACACACACACACACACAAAGTATATGGAAAAATAGATTACAGAGGTAACTTTGTTTTTTACTTTTAAATAATTACTTTTCTTGATTATTATTATTATTTTAAAAATTTGCAATAGGGCATGTGTGCTCACCAGAGACAGAGAGAGAAAGAGAGAGAAAGAGAAAGCAAGAGAAAGCAAGCTGCCAGATTTGGGACTCAATTTGCAGCCATGTGGGAGTCCAGTGCCTTAACCACCACGCCACCTACTGGCCCCTACAGAGGTAATTTACAAATGTTGAAAATCTCTTCCTAGATTAAAAAAAGTATCAGTAGACATTAAATAAATACAAATAATTCTTTCTTTCCTTATTCCTTCTTTCCTGGAGTGACAGAGACGGAGAGACAAAGAGATAGTACCCCCAACAGAACCTAGCTGCCCTGATCCGCCCCCAGCCTCAGTCAGCCCTGGATCATGAGCACACAGTCTAGAACCTTCCCCTGTGAGTCAGCCTTGCAGAGGGTTGCTTTACTGCTGCACCACCACCTGGCCCCATCCACAGTCTTTTTTAATAACCTAATTTCAGAAGTAACATTGTACTTCTACCATATGTTATTGCAAACGCAAACCAGCCTCCGTCCCTTTGTGTGGTTGGGGCCTCCACAAGCTTGTAAATAACAGTAGGTGGAAATCTTTGGCACTGTCTTGAAGGCAGGCCGCTACACCCACAATCAGGCTTTATTAAATAGTAACATTTTGCCCCATTTGTGTAACTGCTTCACAAAATGAGTTTAGCTCAGGGCTAAATTCTGAGAGGTACAGATGGGAAAGGACTTTTTCTTTCACAACTGCTTTCAACCACACTATGGTAAATCTCCCTTCCTCAATCTTGCTGACTTCTCTAGTAGAGCCCTTCATTTTCCAAACCTCACACTCAGCTGTAGGAAGAGTCCCATTTCAGGCATTAAAGAACTTGGTCCAATCTCATACGTAGTTCTAATCTTTACTTAACTCTTCTTACTACTCTACTGATGCTGAGGAAGAAGAGTATGGTTGTTCTTTCAGAATTTTTTCTATTTTTCATCTCTTTCTTGCTTTCTGATTCCTCTTGCCTGGGTCTGGTATATGGATTAGAGAAAGAGGAGCAAAACTTAATTGCCTTTAGCTGATATTGCCCTTTCCTGGTTGATTCTGTCTGGTCAATGTTCCCTCCATCAATCTAAGGAACTCATAGGGTTATGAGGCCTTCTTACGATTTTACTCACTCTCCAGCTTACTTCTTGAAATCCTCTCTCAGCTTTAAAAACAAACTTTTTTAGGATCCCAGGGCTTGAGAAGACGCCAGGCGCGCGTGCCGCGTGTCCCGGGAGGTTAACGTTCATCCCCCAGGGGTCTTTCTCATTCTCATTCTCTGCTTCTCCCTCTCTCTCTCTTTCTCTTTCTCTCTCTCTCTGGGGAGCGCACACGCCCTATAGCAAAAACAAAAAAAGAAGAGAAATCTTCCGGAGAAAACGACCTGCACTTGCCACCACCAAACGTGCCCCCCACGGCTGATTCGCTTGTTGAAAACTGCTATCTCGTTCATCGAGAACGTTAAATTACTTCCGGCTTGTTAAGAGATTGCAGTCGATATTGAACGTAAGGAAAAAAATAACATTTTTAAAGTCAGAAAAATAAAAACAAACTTTTTTAGAGAATTATGTACTTTATTTATTATTGTACTGTGATCAACTATGTGGGAGTCCAGCGTCTCAACCACCATACCACCTGCTGGCCCCTCCTCTCAGCTTCTGCTCTACAGGTTCAGGGCTTAATTCTTTTTTTTTTTTTAAAGAATTATTTTATTTTAACTTTATTATTATTATTATCATTATTATTTTCCAGTGTGATCAGAGAGAGACAGAGAGAGAGAGGAAGTGAGAAAGCAAGCCACCAGGTCCAAGACTTGAACTGTGGTCGGCCATGTGGGAGTCCAGTGCCTTTAACCACCATGCCAATTGCCGGCCCCAGGGCTTCATTCTTCATAGTCTCTTCCTGTTGGGGACCCCTTGCTTCAGGAAGTGGATCTCTTGGTCAGGGTCTCTTTGAGATGGTCCATGCATGCTACTCTACTCTCTTCAGGATCTTACATAAGATTCATGGAAAAACACCATGCTTCTTTTCTGTGCCCAAAGCTTAGCCATCTTCTCACCCCTCTCTCCTGTAATTACATGCTGCTCTGGCCAGTCTGCTGCCTTTGGAGTTTTTGAGATGGGCAGAAACCAAGCACAGATGTCAAAAATCCTGTAGGCGTCCTCGACTCTCTCAAGGACTCTTGTTGCTCTTCTTTGTAGCCTTCTAACGGCACCAGAGCCTGCGATGTCAGGGCTTTGTAAACATCCAGCCAGGAAGTGAAATGCCAATTTCCTCTCTTGTAAGTACCCCTTGTCCTTTTGCCTGATTTGCTTGGAACTTCCTGGCTTGGCTTGGCAATGAGTGGGAAGCATCTCGTCATAGGGAGAGAGAGGGAGAAAGTCAAATCTGGGACCAGCAGATGGTGTAATGGTTAGGTTGCTGGACTCCCACATGGCCGACCATGGTTTGAGTCCTGGACCCATCAGCTTGAAAGTCATGCTGGGTGCTCATGCATGTGTGCCCAATATCTCAAGAGGAGAATGGAGGAGAAGGGATTGTTGTGTGGCCATACCCCCTTCGGGGTAAGTTCTTACTTTTTCTATATATTTATCTCTGGTGAGTATGTGCACCCTACAGCAAAAATCTCTTAAAAAAAAAAAAAAGAGTCAAGGCCCTTCTATTCCATTAAATCTCTTTCGAAGCTCCTCATCAGTGAATGTATAGCCTTCTTTTCAATTGCCTAAAGGTGACTGATGGGGGACCAGCTGTTAGCGTAATGGCTATGTCACTGGACTCCCATGTAGTAGACTGTGGTTTGAGTCCTGGACCTGGTGGCTTAAACTCACACTGGGTGCGTGTGTGTGCATGCCCAAGATCCCGAGAGGGGAGAATGGAGAAGGGATTGCAGTGTGGACATCCTTCCTGGGGGGTGATTTCTCGCTTTCTGTCTCTCTGTCTCTCTCTGTCTTTCTGGTGAGCACTTGCACCCTATAGCTAAAAGAAAAAAAAATGTGACCGATGGAAATTAATATTTGAAGAACTAGTTTGGTCATTTTTTATAAAATTCTGCAGAAATATGTCTAGTAAGACTCTTTGGCTTCAGGGCCTTAGCTGAATTCAAAGATAATAATACAATCCTTCTTTTAACAGTCTATTAAATTTTGCTCAGTTTTGAAAAATGTAGAAATTCACAGATTTCGTTGAAGTCCACTTTTTATTTATTTATTTTATTTATTAATTCACTTTACACCATCACAACACACAAATGAATTTTCCATCCAAAATACACTGTGCATTGTCTCAATCAAGTACATCCACATATATGTTCTCAGCAAATAATTTTCCAATTCTTACGTCCTGCATACCTTGCCCTTTGTCTTGCCATCC